TTATTTGAAGCAATTATTTTCTCTTCTAGCCTCTTGGACAGAAACAGAAACTGGCAAAAGTACTATATAATGACGAACTATGCTAGTAATATCTCTGGATATCTTTGGAAATCATTGTCACATATTCATGCTTCAATTTCATGGGGCAAATAAAGACACATTCAGAATTTGCTTAACAATCACTTGCTATATTATCTTAATGTTAAGAAGTTTCAATTTTGATTTAATAGATTTAGTTTTTGATATAAACTTTGTCAGAAATAAATGTATTAAATATACTGATGTCATATTTATGTACTACATGCTACACAGCCAAGCAATTTTTATGTGTGTGTGGGTAAGGAAAGCCCTTTGGTTATTTCAGAATACCAAGTGAACAAGTCATATCCAATTAATTACTTTCTACAATATGGTCTTTATAGTCACAGTTTGTGTGTCAGAAAATTGCAGTATTTATAGCAGTTTGTTTGCTAGAAGCAAAGTTACCATTTTTCTCAGAAGTATGTTAAAATGCTTCAGCGAACCTCTCCTTCACTAGGCAACTGCATAGAATAACTGTGCAACCTGACTAGCTTTGGTGAGGCTTTCAACTTGAGATTGAATTTTTATTTCATGGTTAGATAACATACACACAATTATCAACATTTTGAATCACCAAATATTTACTTAAGTAATTCTTTGCTATTTGTTAGATTACGTATACAGTACAGTTTAAGATACAATTTCTTGAAAGAATAAAAATTTGGACAAATAATACATTTAAATAAATAAATAATGTTTTATCTACACAACTGTGCCTAAAACCTATACACATTTACACAGAAATAAGTCTCTTACTACATTCACTGAGGTGGAATTGAAATAATTCAAACAATATTTTCTAAGAGAAAAATATTCCTTCTGTTCCTTGAAAGCAAGAAGACATTCTGTATTCTTATTGATTTCATTTTAATACAACCTTTATACAATCCCCTGAAACTGGCAGTTATGGGGAAATTTAAGGTATAGGGCAACAGCACACAAAACAAATAAAAGAAGCTAACTGTTTGAATTCCCCCAAGAAACTGATGGATTTTTTTTTGTCTCCCAGGATAACTTTAGCAATACAGTCTTTTTTCTCACTTTCATCCCAGTTCTTGGCATAACAAGATGGAAGGAGGATGGAACAATACCCAGAAGTTTTGAGCAAACAGCAAGGCTCACAAAACTTTGCTTTAAACCATGTGTCAAATGTCAAGAAGATGCAGCATTTGCTCTGCCAATTATGAGAACCTGAAGTTGGAAGGCTGCCTTTACAGCACCCCCATGATCATATGATCAAAATTCAAATGCTTCGCAACTGGTTCATATTTATGACAGTTGCAGTGTCTCAGGGTCATGTGATCACCTTTTACCACCTTCTGACAAGCAAAGTCAATGGGGAAGCCAGATTCACTTAACAACTAGGTTACTAGCTTATCATCTGCAGTTATTCACTTAACAACTGTAAAAAGGAAGGTCATAAAATGGGGGGAAATTATTCTGATTCACTTAACAAATGTCTCACTTAACAACAGAAACTTGGGGCTCAATTGTGGTTGTATGCCAAGGACTATCTGTAGTCTTGAACATATTTCTGTTTGTTACAAATCTTATATGGCATATATCAGTGACGGTGAACCTTTTTGTTACGGTGTGCCGAAAGTACGCACGTGCCAGCACTCACAATGCAATGCGCCTCACCCCCCCACACATGCGTGTGCAACACCCCCACCCTCGCCTCTTACCTGCACTCCACATGCATGTGCCTCCCAGATAATTTTCTTATAAGCCTCTGCAGCCTCAGGAAGCCGAAAAACGGGCCTTCCAGAAATACCGGATATGCCAAAACAGGCCCATTTTTCAGCCTCCTGAGGCTGCGGAGGCTTCCTTCGAGTCTCTGGGAGGGCAAAAACGGCCTCAAACAGGCCAAAAATCAGCTGGGAGGAACGTGCATGCACAGTGCAGGTAAGGGGACGAAGTGGGAGTGTTGCGTGTGCATGCAAAAGGGGGACGGGGAGCATTGTATTGTAAGTGCCAGCACACGCACATGCACACTTTCAGCACACCACAACAAAAAGGTTCTCCATCACTGTTCTATGTAATCTGTGCAGAAAATAAGTAAGACGTTATTTCCTTGCAAGTAGTCTAGCTATATTATGTTAGAACTGAAACTATAAGGCACCCAGTTATCCTCCCATCATGAGAATAAGCAGAAATAAGGAACTGTAGATTTCATCACTGTAGTTCAGTGGCTAAGGTGCCAGATTAGGAGTTAGGAGACCAAGATTGTACATTTATTTTACTCTTAGCCACAAAAAAATGTGTAATCATCCTAAAGGAGTCAGGCTTGCAAATTTGACAAACTGCATGCTTATCTTCCATTTGTCTCTCTCAGCTTTAACTGAAAGAGATCTCAAGGTTGTTGTTTTTTTCATGTGATTTTATCTCTAATTCCTCAAATATTTTAAATGATGACCTTTGAGCAATTGTTAAAATATAGTCAGAAAGTAGAATGTTGAAAACTAATTTTCTGAAGGAATTCCAAAACTCCTTGAGGATGAAGTTATAAAAAAACCCAACCCTGTAAATTAATAATATAAAAAGAAATCTACTTAGTTTTATGCAATGAATTACTGCAGAAAGTTGCATATTTTTTTAACTTAGTTGGTTTTCAAACTGAAAGAATGCAATATGCTAAACTAATAATTAAAACTCACTAAAAGTAATACTGTATTGTACGGTCTCTGTGCACTTTGAGTCACAATGCCTGAAATACTTTTCTTGTTTGACACATACGTTTTGGGAAAAAATATTGCACTAATTCTTCTTGTGTTTGACCTCGTTATTCTTAATGTAGCATTCTATGATATTTGCAAGTTTTAAATTGAGTATTTACACAGTGCTCTTCAAAAAGACATCCCTTATATCAGTGGTAGTCAACTTAGTCTCTACCGCCCACTAGTGGGCATTCCAGGTTTCATGGTGGGCGGTAAGGGTTTTGTCCCCTACTTTATAAATCATCATTACTGTGGAACTGGTGGGCGGTTAGAGAAAATTTTACTACTAATGGAGATACAAAAGTGGATAGGTATAAAAAGGTTGACTACCCCTGCCTTATATTAACAAACGATGCCACGTTAAACATGATATTGTAATACCGCTCTCAAAATTCCAAATTAGAAATCTTAATTTCCCAAAGGGACGAGGTTGGCCAAGATTGTAAGAGTTCTGAAAAGAAAATTTGAGGATCTTGAACACAAGTCAGACATCGTAGTTTACTATGATAAGAAGCCAATCTGGATGTATAGATCTCAAAAAAAATTATTTGTTTTGCTTTGTGTCCATATGCCATTATGCCAATTAACATATTATTTATTTAACAATGTATTCATCTGAAGAGGAGATCAGTTCTTTCCAGACTGAATCATCATATGAACACAATAAAACATACATATCTTTTTCTTTTAAGCAAGAAAAAGTACCAGTAAAGAAAAGGATAACTGGAATCATTGAATGCCTGGTAAGGACTGGCTGAAACTTTTATAGTAAGTTATTTATGCTTCTGATATAAACTTTGAAATATCAGTAAACAATGAACTATTTACAAAGAACACAAATGTAATATTTCAGCATATTCCTAGCATATTCATTGTCATCCAAAAAAGAAAACCTAATTCGTATAATATTTTCTTGAAAGTTGTCTTGCAGAAACTGAAGCTGTAACCCATACTTTTAAAATAATGCCTCATTTGCTTATAAAGGTAGCCATCACTTAAGGACAAAAATTGGGACCAGAATTTCCATAGATAAGCAACATAGCTATAAAGCATTATATCATATGACCTTGCTGCTTAGTCACAAGAGCCCTGGCATTTCCTATTGCCGTTGTTAAATAAATCCTGCACTATTGTTAAGCACGATGTCAAGTGCTCACCATTCACAACCTATATGTGGGTGTTATGACTCCCCTTCAAAATTCAAACGAACAAAACAGAAAGCAGCCATTTCACAATTAAATCAAACAGAAAGAAGTCTTACAAGATAACGGCTGGCAGAAACCTCAATCCACAGCATAAATCTTTACTCTGTCCGGCAAACCAGTCCTGGCAATAAATCAGTCTCAGAGCTTCTTGCTGTAAACGTCCTCACTCAAATAGTCACTTTGTTCCTGGCAAATTGTACCAGCCCAACTGTGTCCTTTTATACTCATTGAGGCAACTTGCTAATTTACTGACTCGCTCTCCTCATTTTGCCTTCTCAACCGTCTTCTGTTTTTTACATTTAACCACAAATTTTCCAAGTTCTCATCTCCACTAGAAGACTCTCTCAAAACTTCCCTGTCAGCCATTCCCGGCTGTTGATCAGATAAGGAACCAGAGGAGGTCAAAGGTCCTGACAATTCTAATACATCAGGTCTGTCGTCCTTTGTCACGTCCATCTCCTCATCCTGGTTACCAGTCCAATCACTGAGCCATGCCGGCTCATATTTTTCTGCCATGACCTCCTCACTTGAACTCATATCAGTCACAGGAGCTGAATCCAAGCCCAGAGCCACAACATGTGGGTATATACATTATTTTGTATTTATTTATTTTGTCATGTATATGTAGTGTATATTGGAGATGGTGACCTTTGAGACCTGTATGCAATGAAATTTCATTTTAAAGTATGCTGCTTAGTCTACATTCAAAGTGACAATAAAGTTGCTATTCTATCCCATTCCATTTTACTCTTTTTACTCTATTATGTTCTATGGTGGCTTCACCATAGACTTTTCTTGCCAAAATCTAGGTAGACCACAAATTGTATTCATGTGACCACAGGCCACTGTAATGTTGTGGTCATGAGCCAAGCGCCAGAATTGTGTTCACATGATCATAGTGTTGCAGGAAATGACAGGCTCAGACCTTGGAATCCAAAAATAAGTTTTATTTGCGCAAAGGTTCAGAGCATTTTAGCCAGAGTACATCTGAACAATGTCTTATAGAACAGCACATGCAAATATACTTCTTCAGAAGGAGCAAAACACAGAAATATAACTTGTCAGTCATTCATTGGTTACTTGAAACATGGGCCCCCTGTTGCTAGGCTACAGTAACGAAATACCTTTCTCTCTCCCTAATCTATGTCAAAGGTGATTTTCCTGGTTTCCGCAGTAGCTTGTGGTTTTGTTGCAAGGTTCTCTGTAACAAAGCTTCTTGCTTAACAAATATGAGTTAGTGACCGGCAGATGATCCTTGTGGTTTGGCGTTTCACATTTCATTGTTCTTTCTATTGCTAATACCACGTATTTCACTATCCATAAAACCTGTATCATTATTTCTCTAAAATTAATATATTTCTTCTTTTATGTTCTGCCTTAATGGGATACTGTGTTTATTGTAATAGGATCTGCTTCAGTCCCTCTTGTTCAGCGCTGTCATAAATTTGAATAGTTGCACAACAAGTGATCATTAAGTGTGGACTGCTACTGAAATAGGTCTTTTGTCATTTATTTTCACACAATTTATATAATCTTGCTGTTTCTATAAATTTACCAAGGTTAGAATGCAGCATTGCAGGCTAATTCTGCTGACTGCCAGGAATTCTACCCTCATCAACTCAGGGTCAACTCAGCCTTCCATCCTTCCAAAGTCAGTAAAATGACGACCCAGATTGTTGGGGGCAATATGCTGACTTTGTAAACCACTTACAGAGAGCTGTAAAGCACTATGAAGTGGTATATAAGTCTAAGTGATATTGCTATTGTTATTTTTCCATGAAATTTGGGACTATGTAATTATTTTCACCTTTGCTACATAAAGAAGGTATACATACAACTTCCTCTACTTCAGACTATTTCAGATTTCATTCTAAGGTGCTTCTAAATCATCTTTGTGCTTTGAATGGTTTAACAGGATTAGGAAATGAATAGGACAAAGGACCTTACAAATGTTGATGTCTTCTCTAGCAATCTTATATGAATGGAAGTTCTTCCTGATTTGTTAATGGTATTCTTTATTATCCTGTACATCCAGTTATATTTGATATGTTTTACTCAATAAAATAAGCTAGAATATTGAAGTCAATGGACTAGGAATATACTTCAAATTGCGCTGCTTCTTAGTAATATATACTTGCACAATATTAAAACCTATTAAAAATAATAGCTGAAATCTCTCCAGAGATAGTTGTGATAGGCTTCAGATTTCCACAAATTATTCAGTCCTGAAAGATAACACAGGTAGTCCTTGTTTAGCTACTACAATTAGGACTGGTAAATCATTTATTAAGCAAAGCAGTCGCTCAGTGAAACTTCAGGTGTGCTTTTAATCTTACTTCCGCTTTCCTTTGCTTACAGCACTATAAGGTCATAAATTTGTCAGTGGTAAAGTTATTTATTTTCATCACTGTCATAACTGCAAATGCTTGCTGCCTGAGGCAGTTGCCAAATGAGGATAATTTCTATGTCAATTTCTCCACGGGGAGATGTATATGCTAGTATCTTTGATTCTTTTAGCATGAATTTAGTGTATCCACAATGGAAAAAGTCTGTCTGTCTGTCTGTCTGTCTGTCTGTCTCTCTCTCTCTCTCTCTCTCTCTCTCTCTCTCTCTCTCTCTCTCTGTCTCTCTCTCTGTGTATGTACATGTGCATATATTATGAGAAATTATACAACTCCAACCAAAAAGAATAGAGAGGCATAAACAGTAATACCACACAAAGACAGACTTCCATGTCAATATAATAAAAAATCAAGTTATAAGAATAAATGATTGCAGAAAATGCACTATTTATTAAGCTTTAACAGCAACAAAGTTTTACAAAGTTCACATTCCCCCCAACATTAAATTCACATTTAACTCATTGAAGGAAGCCAAAAGTGACAAAAAACTAATAAATATTTTGTTAAAACAAAATGGCTTAGCTTTAGCCACATCCAAAATAAACTTCTGACTGCACGGAGCATTCTTTTGCAAAGTAAACCCATCTTTTGCCAGCAATAACTTATATACTGATGTGGCATTAAAAGAAATTTGGATGCTTTAGGAAGCAAACTGTCAAACAACCACTAACTGGATTCTGATATGAGTCACAGTTTAGCGATTTCCTAGGAATTAAACACACTGTAGCCCCAAAAAAAAACTTAATTAAAAAGCAGCCCAAATTTTTCCATGGCATTTTGTTGAACAGGCCAAAATCATCATGTAAATATGCTGCATTTTATAATATAATAGAAGAATATCACATATCTCTTCATTTCACTTCCCTCTCTCACACACTCTTTTATTGCTCAGCATGCTTTCCTCAGCAACTGAAATGGGAAGTTTCCCTCAGGGCTTTATTCCACAAATACCTACAGGTAGTGCTCAACTTACAACAGTTCAAAGTTAAAACGCCACTGAAAAAAGTGACCCAGGACCATTTTTCACACTTATAGCCCTTGCAACATCCCCATGATTATGTGATCAAAATTCAGGTGCTTGGCAATTGATTCATACTTACGATCATTTCAATGTCCCAAGGTCATGTGATCCCATTTTGCAACCTTCTGACTAGCAAAGTCAATGGGGAAGCCAGATTCACTTAACAACCAGGTTACTAACTGCAGTGATTCACTTAACAACTGTAAAAAGGAAGGTCGTAAAATGGGACAAACTCACTTTACAAATGTCTCACTTAACACTAAAATTTGGGGCTCAATTGTGGTTGAAAGTCGAGGACTACCTTTATATACAAAGCTTGACCAATGGGAATGCTGCTTGCATCATCTGCCCCACAACAGTTCTGGCTGGCAGTCAGGTTAGCTCATCAGTCCTTGTGACAGCACAGCTGTGCTCTAAGTTCCTACTGGAGCTTCTTCTCCCCATTATTCTCACTCCTTCTACTAACTTACACCCGTACCATGGCAGCCAGGCCAGGCCACTAAAATCCAAATGCCACAATGACAAGACATGATGTCTTTCATTACTCTGAAAGTCTTGGATTTTTGGAGCTCACAGGAACCAGTCCAAGGATTGAAAGCCAGAGATCAGTTCACAAAAGGATGTAGCTCAGAAAGCAAGAGACTTGTTTCCAAGAAGAAGGCCAGAGGATGCTGTAATATAGCAAGAGCCTCTGACATTGATTAATTAGTCAAGTTGATGTTCTTTCTTTTGAAAGTTAAAAAGAGCTGACATCTGCTACTGACCTCTTTTTAACTGTCCTCTTGTCTCAGACTTTGGCACTTGGCCAAGCTCTTGTCTTAGGTGTTGGCATAGATCAAATTTTCCGTTATCAGAGTCTGCACCCATGTGTGCCAAGCCTCATTTATTAATCATGGGACATCCCTCAGGTGGTTGAAACCCATAAACCAACACAGATATTGCTCTTGGGTTTCAGAATCCAAGAAGTCCATAAGACCCTGTTAGCTCTAGACAGGGTCACACTTTCCCTGGAGGAGCAAGTCTTGTTGGTTCCTGGTCGGGCAGCAATTGAAATCCATCACTATTCAAGTCTAAATTTGTTTACTGTACAAGCTGCAGGCTTTTTGAAGTGAGAAACTTGTGACAGTGACAGTGATCTGATCACCTCTAAATTATACTGCAACATTTGCAGTATATCTGAAACAGTCTTTGAAGATTCCACAAAAACTACATTTGGCATGGTTTTCCAAAAAGAAATGGTAACCAAAAACAGTTCCACAAAAAGCGGCAGTGACTACTGCAATGGAATGAAGAGCTGGAGACTAGGCAGGTTCATTGTAATTCCTCTCTGAACAAGGAGAGGACTTGAGATTGCCCACAAATGTTCCAGACAGATGCTGGAGAAAGCACAGCAGACAACAATTTAGCAATTAACAAGAAAAATCATTCTAAAGATGGGTAGAAATTTCCCGGACACCCAATATAGCAAAGCATTTTGATTACATGCTAGGAGAAAGCCACTGTATATATTATGCTGTAGTTTAGATCCAGTGTTTCTTTTCCTACCTTCCACATAGCTAAAACAATTTCTTGTCAAGACAGACTTAAAAATAGTAGCCTTTCTTCAGCCATGGTAAAACTTGAATAGGTGAAATTCACTGCAAACAAGAGCTTCCTGTAGTCTTTAAGAACACAGAGGTTCAGAGACACAAATCAAGGAATGGGGAGACATACAGTGATGGAATTCAAATAAGATCATTTTCTTGACCGAACTGCCAATCTCTTTTGCAAGAAAGCAAAATAATACTTGAGTTCCAGCCTCTTCAGAAAAAGCAAGTCAGATTTATTTATTTATTCATTTGATTTGTCAATCGCTTACAAGATAATAGGTATAAGTATAAGCATAGTTATGAATACATGAAATGGATACATATAAGAAAAATAAAATAGGACAGGAACGGTAGGCATGTTGGTGTGCTTATGCACGCCCCCTACAGACCTCTTAGGAAAGGGGTGAGATCAACAGTAGACAGTCTAAGGTTAAAGTTTTTGGGGTTTGGGGAAGAAACTCAATTGTGGTTGAAAGTTGAGGACTACCTTTATATACAAAGCTTGACCAATGGGAATGCTGCTTGCATCATCTGCCCCACAACAGTTCTGGCTGGGAGTCACCATGTTCATTGACAGGTAGGACATTGCAATGTATGATTTTATATACTATACTTAGATCGGACCGAAGGCGGCATAGGTTCTAAGTTTTCTAGGTCTAGAATTTCAAGTCTGGTGGCATAAGGTATTCTGCAACAAGTAGAGCAGTGGAGAACTCTTCTTGTGAAATATTTCTGGACTTTCTCAACTGTGTTAATATCAGATACGTAATGCGGGTTCCAGACTGATGAGCTGTATTCAAGTATTGGTCTAGCAAATGTTTTGTATGCTCTAGTTAGTAGTGTGATAATCATATTTTAATGCAGACTAATGTTCCTGTTCTATGTTCAATATATACATGAAGAGATGTAACCAAATCATGTGGAAGTTTTATACAAAAATGTAATTATATTACAAATAAGTAAACAATATCATTAGCTCCAAGCCAATCAACTGCTACATATAGATATTGGTTTTTATTTAAAGTTAAGACAAACTTCTTCCAGACCAACTTCCATACAACTTGTGATATTTTTTAAAATTGTGATTTAAAAAAAATCACAATTGATATAGAAATAGATAAAGCACCACACTGCAAAATCTGAAGGAAAGTATTTGATTCATGTAAAAAGAAGCATTTATTTAATTAGTGAAATTGCATATTTTGAGTATCCATGTTGACTTGAACCATCTTTATGTCTGATATTAAGAATGTATATTCAAAATAAAAAATGACCACACAGGAAGCCTCTGTCTCAGGGTCCAACAGTGACCTCTGTGATCTAATGCAACTTCCTCAAACAAGTGAAGGAAGGAAATCAGGCTAAGCTGGAAGAAAACATACTTTTGAATCCTGTAGTGAACAATCACAGGAGGGGAAACAGATTATTTAACCTTCAAAGAGTTCTGTAACAGAACAATGACTTCTATTTTCAAAGAGTGTTCGGGTGGTTTCAGATCTGAGACCCAATCATGTTATAAATGCAATACAAGTTATGTATCAACATTTAGTTTGAATTTCAAATATCTATTTAAGTGAATCTTGTTTAGTTGATTGATAGTTCTAAACAAGAGTGACAGAACTGTGGCACCCCCTCCTCCCCAAAGATTCTAGCTTTCATCTGGTAGTAGGGATAATTCTCCTAACTAGGAATAATCATGGTTATTGGCTACTATAAAAATATTAAAGGAATTTTGAAAAGAACATGGAGAATATCAACCATATTCTGTACAAATGATCTCTAAAGGAGTGTTCTGTATTCTGATGCCCTGCAAGTGTGGTGGATACAAACCATCTATATTATTCAGCCACATGTACTCATGAGAGAAACCTGCTTATGTGATATACTCTCTGAAATGTATTTAGATAGCACATTGCATTTAAATATAGCACAGTGTAACTATAAAAAAGGAAAACAGTCTGCATCAAGACATATCTGCATGGGTTTTGATTCACCAAGGCAACTGCTATCAGTATATATCATATCAGTATTGTTCACATGACCATTTATTTGTGTTGCTTTCTTTGGACTCTAAAAATTAAATGTTCAGAGATGGTGAGTTTGTGGATTCTGCCCAACATGGGCAGGTATGCCCTTCATTTACAAAAGGTTACTTTGTTACTGATCTATTATTCACTTTCTACTATCTTAAAATTCAACATGCCATTCTTTCAAAAACTGAGGAACATCAACCTATCTGCAATGGTTGAAGTTCCTTGAAAGGTGTTGCAGTATAATTGACAGCTTAAAACAGTTACCCAGAAACACAGCATGTTTAAAACAATTTCAGTACAACTCAATTATTTCATTACTGATGAGCCATGGTGGCACAGTGGTCAGAGTGCAGTACTGCAGGCTACTTCTGCTGACTGCCGGCTCACAGCAATTTGGCAGTTCAAATCTCACCTTGCTCAAGGTTGGCTCAGCCATCCATCCTCCTGAGGTTGGTAAAATTAGGAGCCAAATTGGGGGCAATATGCTGATTCTGTAAACTGCTTAGAGAGGTCTGCAGAGCACTGTAAAGCGGTATATAAGTCTAAGTGCTATTACTATTGCTACTTCTTTTCCAATAGCAAAAAATAAAGGATTGTGCCAAAGTAACAGGTTGCTAATTCTAATTATAATACTATGTCTTAAGTATAGAGAATTCAAAAAACATTTGAGAATTTAAAAAGTATGATAGTCATTCTTTTTCTCCATTGACCATTTATTATGTGGAATAAAATTAACAGCAGTCCAAACAACAGAAATAAGATGTGAATAGTGTATACTTCTTTAATTAAAATCAATATGTCTACCGCAGCACAGAAAATTTTGCCTATATCAAGTAGTCACTCTAACAGTAACCTGATTTATAATACTGACAGCATTGCAACTATCAGTGGCACACTTACATTCAGTCTGCTTTCCAGTAATATACTAATTCATTTTTAAGAGCTCACTAAGACAGATTTCTGACTAGTTACAGTATTGTCTATACAATAAATTCTTTTTTGTAGGAAAAAGAAGCACACACACACTAACAGACACTTACCCCTTAATATAATTTGTAAATATTGAAATGGATCTGCCCTTTATACATTCAGCCAAACTAATAAAAACACATAGCTAACACTCTGGTGGATGCCCTCCTCATTTTTATAGTGGCCTAATAAAACACCAAGCATGAGTCCTTCTTTCTCTTTTATCTCCACCCTCATCCTCCCAAACTTTAAGAAAACACGAATAACTGAATCACAGCTGTGCTCCATTATAAGTGGAGGCTGTGGCACTTTCGTGTCTGTGCTGGGAGGGGAGATTGCAGTTGTGTGGAGAGCAAGAGAAGATAAAGTTGCAGATGAGAAAAGAAAAAAATGGCAGGACAAGTTGGCTAAGTACAATCCTCTAATGTAGTGGTTGCCAACCAGTGGGCTGGGGAGCACTGGTGGTCTGCAAAAATTTTGGTGGTCCACAGACAAATGTCACCTCCAACGCACTCTCCAAGGCAATTAATCCAGGCTGCGTGGGAATACAAGGCTGCTCCACCCACATGGCCGGCGGGAACACAAGGCTTGCATCACTTGCATTGCGAACAACACGAGGTAGTGAGTGGAGGGGGAGAAAGGGGGAGAGGGGACTTGCCCCACTCGCCCCATGCACCTGGCCTGGCCACCGGGCTGCTTCTTTCCACTTCTTTCTTCTTCTGCTTTTGGCTGCACACAAGGAAAGCAGCAAAAGTCTTTCGTTCTCTCCCCCAAACTCTGTCAGAAATGAGTCTTTGGGACCCTGCAAGGCATCCTGCTCCAAGAGGCTGCACCAGCACAACAAGTCTCACAAAGATTCATTTCTTGCATGAAGCCAAAAGTCTCCGTCTCTCTCTCTCTCTCTCTCCCTCTGTGAATGGAGCTGGAGACGGTATTCTGCGATTCCAAATAAAGAATAATTGATCAGTAGGAAAACGGGGTGGGAAATTTTCCTGCAGACTTTTTGGGGGGATTTTCCCAGAGTCTCTGATCCGCGGGATTTAGAATTATGAGTTTGGTGGTCCCTGAGTTCCAAAAGGTTGGCGATCCCTGCTCTAATGTCTAATTCTTCCCTTTCCTCCTATAGTGCCTAGTGGAAGAGAAGGATCTAAATAGTTCAGGATTCTCCAGCTTAAGACAAGGTTGGGGGGAAGGTTGGGGGAGGTTGCCTAATCACCATGAGTGAGTTGGGTAGCCATATGCATTTTTTAAATAATAATTTTTAAAAATGCAATAAACAAGCACGTTCTCATAGTATCATCTAAAAAAACAGCAAAGATTCAGTATGACCTATTCTAGTAATGGATGGAATGCAGAGAAGTCAGAAGTCCTTCCAAGAATTCTACAAGTGCTGGTGGCTCTAGAAGTTTAATCAATGTTATGCTCATATATGTATATGAGCCAGAGACCAAGATAAAACATCTATGTGTTTATCAAAAAGAGGCTGATATCAGATACATATGATTTATAAGATTTGTAAGTTTATTACTGCAAAACAAAATAAAATGTAGCATTTAAAAAATTTTAACAGCACTTCTGCAATGAGAAAGGCACAGAATGCAGACACGGCCTTCTATTGCTCTGCTTGTGCCATGGGATAATAGTGTGCATAAATCAAATAAATAAATCAATTAAAATTAAAAAGCCATGTGAAAAATATTACCATCCATATTTTAAAAATACCTTTCTTCACAAAATAACTTGTAAATATTTTAGTCTTTTAGAGCTTTTAATTAGATTAAATAGCAAACCAAAGTGGTTGTTTTATCATGATCCCATTTGGAGAGAATGCAAAACATGGGGGGTATGTAACTGAGCCCAATTTGTTGAAGAGTTGTGAGATGAGGTCCTTAAATCTGTAAAACATGAGAATAGCTAGAAAATTTTGGGTCATCTGCCCTAATCTTACTTTGATTTTCCATAATTAACCTTACAAAAAAAAAAAAAGGCTTTGCCTCCTAAATTGACTATGCCAGAAAATTTTGCAATGCTAGAAAATTTTGTAATGCTACAAAGTAAACATTGTGGAAAATACTTCTACTCAGCAAAATGAATTTCCCCTAATGGTAATTTGTATTCTTTAGTAGATTAGATATGACATTAGATCTAAAAAAGACTAAATGTCAATATAATCAGTTACATCAATTTTGGCCACAAGACATTTAGGGGCCTTGGAATCTCCAAAAACAGTTGATTATCTTAAGGTAAAGACAAGCCACAACAGTACAATAATATAATTTAGTGGGGGGGGGGGGTTGTGTGGATGCCATGGATTATTTGAAAAGTGAGTAGATTTTAGATTCAAGGCAAAAACATTATAAAAGCTTCTGGAAACTTGCCCTTAAAACAATTACCTCAACAATTCAAGCTTATTTAGCACATTTTTTTAAAAAACAGAGATTGGTCATCCTCCCCCAAAGATGCATTTTAAGGATATTTGACAAGAGTGAAAAACATGTAGCGCTGCAGTGTCATATACAAACAATCAGTTTCACGTACTTTCCATCAGTCAGGCAAGCAACACAAAGTATATCAACATGATTCACTCTGCCCCTACAACCAATCCCTATTTGTCTCAGTAACTGGGCCAATAAGTGAGGCTGCCCAGACCAGATTTTGTAGGGCAAATTAAAGTACAGTTATTGGTGAAATTCCTGCTGCTGGGAAAATATCCACCAATCACTTTCCCAGTAAGAGGTGAAAGTCAAGGAGAAAGAAAATATTGACATATGACCTATGAGTTTAGCAATCTGTCAGAACTTGATGCCACATAGTGGATTAAAGTTCGGAGCCTTTTTCCTTCCGTCAGGAATCTCTCACTTACTACATGGACCATGTACAGCAGCAATGATCTTCTCATCTTTTTTCCCCACAAAGCTCTTACTCTCTGTGCAAATAATCCCCAGATTATCACTCATTCATGCCACCCGTTATTTGTATTTGTCTTCATTCTATCCTTATTCTAGCATTTGCTCTCCCAATTACTGCTTGTGTGTATTCCTCCCTCATTTGTTTGACCCTCTTACTTAGACAGTCAAGCAAGAGAGTCAAACAAATGATGGAGCATCACGCAAGAAGTATTGGGAGATAAAGTGACTGTCTTTGTGAAGCTCCAGTGCCACGTTATATTAGCAGTTGTACAAGGAACCTGATCATCCTTTTCGCCCAATCAAATGGTCCTGGAGGGGAAAAGACATAGCAGCAAAAGTGGCCAAAAGAAGCAGAACAGAACAGAATGGAATGGAATGGAATGGAACGGAACGGAACGGAACAGAACAGAACAGAACAGAATAGAATTCTTTATTGGCCAAGGGTGATTGGACACACAAGGTATTTGTCTTTGGTGCATATACTCTCAGTGTACATAAAAAGAAAAAAATACATTAATCCAGAATCATAAAATACAACACTTAGTGATAGTCATAGATTACTAAATAAGCAATCAAATCATACTAGGAAACAAATAAAACAATATAAATTGTAGAGATACAAGCAACAGGGTTATAGTCATAAGTGGGAAGAGATAGGTAATAGGAAGGATGAGAAGAATAATAGCAATATAGATGCCAACCATATCACACACTGGTTATAAGCATCATTAATGTACATCTGAAGTTAACCAATGCAGCTATGAGGTGGGGGTAAGAGAAGGGCTGCAACTTGAAGAAATGTCTTTAAAGACTGATTAGCACAGTAGTCGCCAACTGGTGGGCTGGGGACCACTGATGGGCCATGAGAAAATTTTGTTGGTCAGTAGAGAAATGTCACCCACAAAGCAATTAATCAAGGCTGCAAGGGAACACAAGGCTGCACCACCCACATGGTCAGCAGGAACACAAGGCTTATGTCACTTGCATTGCAAACAACACGAGGTAGTGAGGGGAGGAAGGACAGGACGGAGGGGGGGACTTGCCCCATGTGCCTCGCCTGGCCACTGGGCTGCTTCTTTTCGCTTCTTTCTTCTTCTGCTTTTGGCTGCACACAAGGAAAGCAGCAAAAGTCTTTCTTTTCTCCACCAGAAATGAGTCTTTGAGACCCTGCAAGGCATCCTGCTCCAAGAGGCTGCACCATTCTGGCAGAGTTTGAGGGAGATAAAGAAAGTCTTCTGCTGTTTCTGCTGTTTTCTTTGCATGAAGCCAAAAGTCTCTCTCTTTCTTTCTCTTTCTCTCTGTCTCTCTCTCTCTCTCTGTCTCCCCACCCCAAGAATGGAGCTGGAGACAGTATCCTGCAATCCCAAATAAAGAATGATTGATCGGTAGGAAAATGGGATGGGGAATTTTTCTGCATTTTGGGGGGGATTTTCCCAAGGTCTCTGCTTTTTCTGCAGAGAGAGAAAGAGAGAGAGATCTGATCTAACTTTCTCTCTCTCTCTCTCTCTCTCTCTCTCTCTCTCTCACACACACACACACACACACACACACACACACACAGGTCCCTCACCCCCACCTACTTTTGAGCTCCGTTCTCAGGGGAGAGAGAGAGAGTATCCTGCAATCCCAAATAAAGAATGATTGATCAGTAGGAAAATGGGGTGGGGGATTTTCCCAGGGTCTCTGCAGAAAAAGCAGAGACATTGGGAAAAGGGGCATTGGTACTTACCTGACACACCCATTCTCTTTGAGTTGTGAAGAGCATCCAGTAGTGGGAGGTGCTTCAGTCTCTGCATATCTAGGCTGGGCTTAATTTGTAGAATGCTCCTCCTCCTCCACGGGACTCCTCCCCAGTGTTCCCCAGTTTTGGCGAAGACAAGAGAAATAAACACCCTCATCATCAATGCCCTAACAATTTGGTTGGCCGAAACAGGACCCCACCAGATGGAAAAAGGGTGGGGCTGAATGCTCTTCACAGCTCAAAGAGAATGGGCGTGTCAGGTAAGTACCAACGCCCTTTCTCCCACGAGTTGTTCAGAGCATCCAGTAGTGCAACATACCAAAGTTTGGCCTGTCCTATGGGAGAGACTCTGTCTGGCCTGGAATCCCCTCCTGGTCCCTGTGGACCCGTTGCAGAACTCTTCTGCCAAAGGAGGCCTCAGCAGATGCAAACACATCTATTTTATAATGCCTAATGAATGGCGATGGAGAGGCCCAGGTCAACAAATTTCAGTTATTGGTGCCTGCCTATCCCAACGAGGCTGAGCCAAAACTGGGGAATGCTGGGGAGGAGTCCCGTGGAGGAGGAGGAGCGTTCCACAAATTAAGCCCAGCCTAGACATGCAGAGACTGAAGCACCTCCCACTATTGGATGCTCTTCATAGCTCATGGGAGAATCCCCCACCCCATTTTCCTGCTGATCAATCATTCTTTATTTGGGATTGCAGGTTACTCTCTCTCTCTCTCCCCTGGGAACGGAGCTCAAAAGTAGGTGGGGGTGAGGGATCTTTGTGTGTGTGTGTGTGTGTGTGTGAGAGAGAGAGAGAGAGAGAGAGAGATATCACTGTCAGCCCTCCAAAGTTAGATCGGATCTCTCTCTCTCTCTCCACCCCCCCTCCCGCCCACCAATGTCAGCAAGCCATCATCACTCAAAATTCATGTTAGTGGGCGTGGGATTTAAAACTATGATTTTAGTGGTCCCTGAGGTCCAAAAGGTTGGCAACCCCTGGATTAACAAGATATGATCAAGGTAAAGTACAGTGGAGATGTAAATATATTGTAAATGTAAGTTCCCAATAGCTAAATTCACAAAAAATTAGCCTGAGAAACTATTATGGATAAATGGAATAGTGTTTTACAGGACGGAATATTTTTCATTTCATCTGAATGAAATGATATTAAGTTTGATAAAACTTTTTTAGTAAAAAGTTTTTCCGTTTTAACAGAATTTAAAAATTAAGCCAGGTCTATTGTTTTTAAATAAAATAACTATTGAAGACTACATGCCATTACGATTACTAGTATTATTTCAATTAAGGGACATGGAAGGCAAGAAAATATGCACACTAATATCCAACATACGTAAGAAATCCAGATAGAATGGAAAACAGCTGAAGCATCTCTTGCCAGTAGAATAAATAGAACTGGAAGGGAGGGAAAGAAAGAGAAAGATCCAGAATCTGCATACCTAATAGAAGAATCAAATGAAGCAAATTATCTGGAGGCTTGTTATACTATTAAGCCAATAGATCATACGAATAACATTGTCCAAAAATATAACAGAAGTATACAGTAAAGGAAAAGATTTTAGGAATGCCCAAACTAATAGAAGGAAAAACCTGTGCTGTGCTTCTTCCAAAACTTCATTTAATAAATACTACATAACCTGTGATCTGTTGGGTCATCATTTCAATTGTGTCATTATTTCGAAAATATTTACTTACCTAAAGAGAGCAATAAAATGACCTTAGGTGGTCAAAAAAAAATAGTGGGATCTGGAGCAATTTTCAACTTCCTGTCAATTTCTCACTGACTTTGCCTATAAGAAGCTTGCAGGGAGAAAGTCAATGGGAAAGCTGGCTGGGAAAGTTGCAAGCTGCTAGGGTAAATCTTCCCAATCTGTGCAGTCTCCCCCAGTCCCTCTGTGCACATGCTGCGCTGGCTACTCACACACTAATGCACATTCTTCCTGACCTACAGTACACCCTTCATGCACTCTCCCTGATCCTCACCACATCTCTCACCCTTCCCTTTGCTCCTTCCTCACCTGGCATCAGCTACTAACCTGCCTGCTGGCCTTGGATTTACAACTTCCTGCCAGCTTTCTCATTAACTTTGCTTGCGAGTGTCAGCAAACACAACTGAGGTCAGACTTCCTGCTGACTTCCCCATTGACTTGTGGGAAATTGTCAGGGAGCACTGAAAATCACAATCACGTGAACATAGCTGTGTAATGGCATTGAAGCAGCCATAACTTTTCCAAAGTTCAACCTCATGGAAGTGTTTGGTTTTGGACACGTTCTTTTAGTTTAGCCTGTCCATTTAAGGTACCTTGGTTCAAAAATTGTTTCCTCATATGGCACCATTTTGCCAAGGCTACAAGCAGACAAACGGATATGAGAGTTTTAGCAGTATATGCATCTCCACACATAACTGCCCATGCTGTTACATTTTGCATCAGTGAAAGCTTCTGGATATTCTTCAAGACTAGCCTGATGTAGAGCATATTACAGTAACTCAATCAGAGGTGACTAGAGCAAGGGTGATCATGGGTATAACCTCTCAATCCAGGTTTGGACACAACATGAAGCTATACAAAGACTCTTTATACAACCCCATCCAATGCCAAAGATAATATAGTCCTGAAATTGGCAAGACCCAAAACCCAAAGCCACTCAGTTTTGCCAGCGTTCAGCTGAAGACTGTTGTTCCTTATCCAGATCCTCACAGTCTGAGACATCTATTATCCATACATCTGTTTGTTTGTTTAATTTTTATGCTG